CGATGTATATATATATATATATATATATATATAGCCATTTCATTTTGCCACACATGTGGACAAACAAAGTGAGCTTAAAATGAACTTACTTTTATGAATGAAAATAAATGTGTATTACATATTTTGATTAGTTACTTTTGCGTAATTGGTATACTTTGTCTTTAAAAAAAATAATTTTCTGTGATGCCACAATTGGCATTACATATTTATTTTCTATCCTTTTAAAATATCTTTCATTACTTAAGCTTTTTTTATTAATAGAATCAAAGACTTAATCCTTTAAAACGAACACGAATATAAAATATTTATTTCTTCTCTTCTAGATCAATGTAATAGACACTTTATTTCATTACTATGCAAACTTATTAATTCACTGTCGCCTCTAATCGAAAACAAAAATCTATTTATAACTTTTTATTCTATATTTCCAACTGCTAAATGTTTCGGTTGCATGGTTGTAATAATTCTCATAAATTTGTTGGCAACTCGGGATCGACAAGCTGTTCTTTTAAACCCAATATTGTTATGCTGGTTGGCTATGTTTTGGCTATGATATATAATGATAAATCGCCAATTTTGGATCTCCTACCCATACTTTCCATGTCCGTAGAGAATAATTATATTCACTTTTAATTTCAAATTTGTGGAGACTGGGAGTGCCCTCAGGGGCCTCCCCAGTCTCAATTTCTAACCGTCAGAAATGATATTCTGGCTGTATGATCTCTCAATAAGAGGGTATACTGATTTTCATCCCTTTAAGGGATTTCTTTTGGATGAAGAAATGGCCATTCTCTGTCACCATTTATGCTTAATAAAATAAATTTACATTCAACGATTTGTACATTGTTTTCTGGAGACTTAATTGTTTAATCCATTCATTAATGGCCTAAATGAACAATCATGAAGTCATTTTCCACTATACGAATATTGGCGGCTACTGACGGAGAAACAAACTTCCACCACACTTTCATCAAAATTTCAACATGTTTTCAGTTTCGATGATTTGATAGCATTTGGAAATTTGATTCACAAGCAACATTTATATCTTGAACTTTTAATTCTGGTTCTTGTTTTGATATTTGAGTTAAAATTTCTGACTGTTTTTCAGTCAATTTCTTTTATGTCTTTATATCCTGTTTGAGCTTGTGATGCAATAAGAAAGACACACATACAGAGAGAGAGAGACAACAATAAGAAGAGGGAAAAAGATTCATTGTTGTTGCAAAATTCTTATTTAAAATGCAAAATTTATAAATGCAATTATTTTATTATCTTGTTTATGATATATTGAGAAAAACACAAAAGAAAAAAAGTCAATCTTTGAAATCCTGGGCTGAGATATGTTTTTTTTTCTTTTACTAAATTATTATTTAAAATGCAATATGTGAAATATGCTTAGAGAATAAATATCATTGTTCACTGATACAATAGAAAGAGATTTCGGAATTATTATTGTATAAATCAAAAAAAAGTAGTGTAAAAATAAATAACTAAATTTATTAAGTAATATCCTGTGTCTGAATGTTACTACCAAAATTCTTCATTAATATAAATGGAATTAGTCTTGTTGGCATAACAGCTTCAGATTATAGAAGTTCTCGTGATAGCAGGAGAGATCATATTCAGCAGGCTAGCAAAAAATCTGCTTTTTTCCAGAAGAATCCAAACCAGGTGGGCTTTCTGGGTTCTATTGGGTTTTTTTTTTTAAAAGAGAGGGCAGGGATAAGTACCTTGTTTTAATATTAATAGTTAATTTTAAGAATTGATAAAGTATAATTAATACATATAAATTGGTGCAAAAGTCTGAAAAAAGTTTCTTCTGACATCACAATACAAAATGTTATATGTACTCACATACATCACACATTTGAAACTTATTTTAACACAGAATTAATTTTTATTTTAATCTTAAAAAACCTTTGAGGAAATAATTTGTTGCATAGAAAGCGAATCAAAGGCTAATCAATGCCCATCAAGGTGACTTTAAACACAGTTTTTTAGGCTAATATATTTCAATAGAATGACTCTTCAATATAACAGAGAAATCAATTTTAGAAAAACCCACTTTAGGGTGGGTTTTACCTTGCAAAATCCTCTACGGGTCTTACTGGGTAGATGGGTTTCTTGCAACCCTGCTAGAGCAATTTTCAAACTGTGACATAAATTTCATGTTTGTACAGCTGAACTGATGATGTTAATTATGGCATTTAACTGTACAAAAACTACAAAGAGTTTGAAAATGATTTATTGAACTTTGCAAAAAAAAAAAAAAAAAAATTATGATGATCATTGAACAACAAAGGCATAAATTACTCACCTAGTATACTTTTTTACATCTAAACAATGAGGATTGACAAGCAGGGGTGCTCGACACATCAACTTAAAGCGTTCAGATACAAAATGGTTTAATCGATCTGAAAAATATTGAAGTTTCACATTAAGGTCTGAAAATTAACTCATACATACTCAAAATTCATTAAACCAGTGGATATTCACCTATTCCTGATCGCAACGCATGAATACGCCATCTGGAGAGAAGACGGGTTGCATGTCTTAACCCTTCCTCCTCTACTCAGTGGTATAAGAATACAATAATTTCTATGATATTTTCCCCTTTCTTAATATTTTTCGTATTTAATCGTCAAAAACATTTTTTTTAGAGATTTCCACGTCATTTTCTTTCAAAACTATGATCAATGCAGTTTTCAGTACCATATAGTTTCCTAACTTAAAAGTTTTCGATCTATTTGGACAGAAACTAACGTACTTCTCTTTCTATGACTCTCCACGTGCTAATGTTGAAAGCATGCCATTTCAAACGCCAATAAAGATAAATTCACTAAGGAACTCTGTACTCAATCAATAAAATGTAAAAAGTTTAAAATTCAAATTTAAGAGTTTTGTAATTAAAAATAGAATTTTGAGTCATGTCAATTTCGTAAAATGTGTCCCGGGAATCAAACAACAATAATTATTCAAACTTCAAATACAGTATTGTTATTAGAACTCCTTTGAAGAGGAAAGTTAATTATTAGTAGAAAATAAACCTTAATAGTACAAGATTCAGATGTGGTTATTTAACCAAAAAATAAGAAAATGACAAGGTCGGGATAGTCTGGTTGGCAGAGCGCTGGACTCATGTCCGAGAGTTCAAATCCAGCTACCCGAAGACTCCTTGCGTGGTAAATGGTGCACATTAAATCTGTCAAGTCACAAAGTCCTCCATGTTCACACAACAAATAATGCCTCTGTGGGTGTCAAATTGGAGACTGTTCTCCGGTTCAGGTCAAAATTACGATTTGAAGCAGAAGCCGAATTCTTGGCCATAGATGACGCCATTGGAAAACAAGAACAATCGCAACCCTTTGCCATAATAGCCTGCCAAAACGACAACAAAAGAAAATGAGAAAAAGAGGAACTAGGGAAAAAAATTAATCAAGTTCTTAAAAACTAAGAGTACTATTTAGTTTTATCAGGATGATTCAAACTAAGTGTTTTTCCAGTTTTGAATTCCTAGTTTCTTTTTCATTCATCATAGCTATAATTACAAAACGGATTTTACAATACAATATAAACTGTATTCAAACTATAGCATAAAATATGAAATACTATGCTACAATATAAACTATGAATATACAAAAACTATATTACATTAACAACTACCAAGGCTGGAATAGATCAGTTACTGAACTGTTACTTATCAGGTTGTCTGTCACGTGAGGTCGCTTCTTTTAGATAACTTCAAGAGGTTGAAGCTGTCCTAGTAAATACCTCTGGTTCTGTCTCATCAAACATGAGTTATTTTAAAATAAGACTTATCATGATCAGAAATTATTACTACTTTCAATTCAACTTCAAAAAATCTCCGGAAAGTTTAAAATCTAAACACTTTTTTATATATTAGAAGATGTTCTTATTTATTGTTTATGCCTCTATACTTCTCTATTATAATAACACAATCAATGAAAAACTAAGAGTAATTAATATAATTATAAGCAAATACTGGTTTATCTAAAGATTATATTATATTAAATAGTTTCAAATGATCTAGCATATTATGACAATATATTAAACAAATGACAGATCCTTTTTTTCCAAAAAAAGATACACAGTCGAACTTCCATTTTGCAATTTTTTTCGAGGAACCGAGAATATTTTGGAAATTTCTTTGTAAAATAACTTCCAAAGGGTAAAGTGATTTTTCTATTTAACGAAAGTTTCCTTAAGATCCACTTTCCCTACTTCCCAAAATATTTCTGTGATGTTGCTACATCACACGTGCATTGTTTTTCTACTCCTGAATAGTTTTTTCAGTTTTCACCTTTTAACCACAATAGCCTTCCACTAAATTTAACTTGATCAACTGATTTTTTTTTGTATCGATTATTCTCAACTTAATTTTAAGCGAGTATGGTTATGCTCCTTTCCGCGTGCCTTCTTGGCGTCAGTTGGGGAAGCCACGGTATGAGAGAAGCGTCTCGTTTTTAACAACTTCAAGGCACTTGCCTTCTGTTTTTTTTATCTCCCTTTTATTAATCAAGGGAACTACATCATGAATAAATTTTACTCAGCAATGAAATGTTGAATATTATCTTTATTTAAAAGTTGTCAGATTAAAATGTTACTGAACACGTGTGCGCCATCGCCAATGGTTGGCGCGTTTCCGGAAAGACGAAAACATTAACTGCATGCATGTGAAAATACTCTGAAGTCTGTTAATATATCTGAGATTATCCTGTTTGAAATAAACTACCTTAACTCTCCAAAAATCATGATCCAGAACCTGTTAATTGCGTAAAATTAAAATATGAACAATCAAAGGAGCCACTTGCATCCCGGAACCTATGAAGAAAGTGAAATAAAAGTTTTTAACATGCCTTGAAACGAACTCGCTTCAATTAATCATTTATCATAGCATCTGACCACCCGTGCCTGGAGATCCTTCTGGAACGAAGGATCAGATAAATTCATTTGAACTCTGTTTTTTAAATATTACGATCACATTTTATGTTTGCACTCATTTACATTATGCACTGCTATAATAGCCTTAAATGCTTCCTCCTATGTCGTTAATTAGTCCTTTAAATTAAAAATTGTAATTATTTATTTTTATTCCTAATTATTTAAATTGTAACAATACAATAATTTCAGAACTTTCAAAACTTGCTAATGCATTTTCTGGGAGAAATGACCTTGAATTGATTTTGCAGCGACTTTAAAAGAAAGCATTAAAATTCCTTTATTTTTTTAATAAGCATTTCATACATGAGTCCATGCCAAAAATCAATTTACGAGAAAGCATAATAGAAATTTCTAAAGAATATATGATGTTACAGATGATGCTGGAGTCACCGTGGAGAATAAGGAAAGTGCGAAGGACGAGCACGATATTTCCTTAGAACTTTTTTTAAAAAAATGTGGGTACAGCTAAGAGAGAACCACGAAATTAAAGATGATGTTCTGATTTTCTTTTTATTGATTCTGAACCACAGAAACATTAACTGAATCGGATATTTTGGACAGTGTGAAAAATAAAAGCAATGAATTGTGAGATCACCAAACGTTAAAATCATTTGAGACAATTTGATAATAATTTACAAGATAAAGGTGTATCCATTGCTATCTTAATGTCTAGCGTTAAACCTGTTTTATGATGATTAAGTATTTTCTATTTAACAAATTTTCCATAAAAGGAACTTTTTATCAGGATTTAGCAACTTCTTTGAATAGAGGTATATAAACGTTTAAATAAGATTTTTTTAAAAATCATTTAAGACTGGTAAATTTTTATATATTTTTCCCCATATATTCAAAAACAAATTAGCCATTGTAAAATTTTGGGCTAAAAATTATATCCAAATTTCAAAATCCATAAAAATGATTTTCCATAGTTAAATTTCAACCTGAGTTTAATAAAAACATGCATTTAACAGTACTAGTACTAAAAGTTATTTTAATTATGAGAATATTTTCAACTGGATCATACAGAAAAAAGTTTCGCAGAGAAAAAAAAATGGTTCATAAAAAATACAGGTCTGTTATAATAAATTTACAATAGGGTTTAAGACAATGTTTGAACGTTGACTTCCCGTTAAGTTTATAGAGGGAGAGCCTCGTCATTTCACTTTAAAAAAACTTTAAAAAAAAAGCCCACTTTTATAGGGTGTGAGTGCCGGTTAGGCTTATCACATTGCATGACCAAACACCTTTTGTAAAAGACAGTTGACGGAAAAGCTTCTTTTTTCTCCACAGATTGCAACAAGAATGGGGTTTGCATTTTTATTTGATTTTCACGTTTTTACTGAAGTTGAATTATTTGTGAAGCTAAACGGTAGTCAATTTACCCTGGACAGACCCCTGATCAGCACAGACCACATTTACGACGCATCAATATGCAGAATGTTTCAAGTGAATACTGGGAATGAGCCAGAATGTGAGATAATAATTAAAAAAAAAGAAGTTATGGCTGTCACATTTGAATACAAAAAATGATGGAACATACCTCTAACTTGAGGAATAGAAGTTAAGTCTTTCTCAAAACAATCATCAAATACAAAAGGAGAAACTGGCTCAAAGTCCGACACGTATTTCCGACCGACCGACGTCGTCTGGCAGCAACGGCACATGACGGAGTGATACCGAAATCTGGCATCGTCCATGTACGGGTGTGTTAATGCATCAACACAAGATATTCTTTTATCCTGAAAAAATAGTATTGCTTTTACAAACATACTTTCGTAATTTGTTTATTTAAAAAAAAGAGAAACACTACTTAATCTTTAAAAATAGCTGCCAACATGGATATAAAAAAGATTTTGCGAAATAATACACTTTTCCAGTTATGATTGACATACTTTAAATGTAATGGTTTATTCATAATTTCGAATATTAATGGACTTCATCAAAAGATTGAATTTAAAAAGAGAGTTTCTGAAAAAAACATTTTAGAACAAAAAAGAACTGATTTCCATAAATTATGTATCAGTAATAATTATTTAAATATTCAAACAATAATCTGTTCTATTTCAATAGGGATTTTTTTTAGGAAACTTACTCAATTTTAGGGAATTTTCTAAAATGTACAAAAACCAGGAGAATTTTAATTAAATCAGTAGACCAGGAGAATCTAGCAAAATCGAGTAGAGTTCGCAGCTATGCTTAAATAATATTTAAAATAAATGTAGCAAACACTATGACAAAAAAAAAGTAATCTAAACTTGATTATTACCCATCCACTCCAAAAATAACCAATGATAATTTTATGAAAATCAATAAAAACTTTTAGCGAATCAATTAGTAACTAAGAAGATATTTCAAATATTTATAATAGTTTAATTATATATTACGACATAAATATAAATAATACATAATATTTTATGAATTTGTCTAATTGAATATTAAATAAATGAATTATTTTTAAATACTACTTAAAATTTTTTATTTCGCCAATCTTTATCTTGAGTTCAGGGGACTCACGATAAAAAAATAAAAATCCAAAAGAACCTTAACAAAGCCAGTTATTTTGAAATGTTTACTTGTAGCTACTTTGTTTATTTATAATTTATTTTCCAGTAAAAGTTTGTTCATACAATGGCAGATTAAATTGCCAGTATAGAAAGCTCATAGATCTAAGCAAATACACATATTTAAAAACAGCAATAAAAAAACTAAAAGGTTAAATGGAAACATTTACTTCTGTTCCTATTATTTTGAATACCTCTGATTAAAAATACATATAAAATATATACAACAAACATAATGTCATAAATTTTGATTCATTACAATGCTTAACCAATGTAAGAAGTTTTAAATATTAATATTGAAATACATTACAAAAAATATAATAATTTTCTTTAAATTATTAATATAAATATTTTTTTCCCGTTAAGTAAATCATAAATTAGATCTGAAATTCTTCCACCAAAATAGGCAGGTATGTATCTGGAACTAATTAAAGGATTTTAAATAATCTTTCGATACAAACTACAGTTAAACCTGTTTATCTTCAACCTTTTATCTCAAAAACTTCTATATCCCGAAATTTTTAAAATTTCCAACATTTACTGTCCAAAATCCATGTTTATGTCGAACTTTTTTTTCAAGACCTCCGCTTCTCGAATTTCTAATAATAGAGCACAAATGTCAAAACTTTCTTCATCAGTAAAACTTGTAGACAGAAATGAATTCGTGAAACCACAGGAAGTAGGGATGAACAGGTAGGGTGTGTTTCTTGGAATTTCAATCTCTATCCCTGCACTTCCTTAACTAGAAAGGAACACACTGATTCTGGCAGTAAGTGAGGGGTTAATGAGTAGTGACCATCAGGGGTTAGCTTTTCAGCATAGATAAGAAAGCCAAGAATAGAAATTCATTTTGACCTCGAAATTGCAACCAATGGATCAAAGGATAATCAAGAGTTTTAAAGTGAACTATAGAAAACAGTTGGTACGCAAACTTGTAGATGCCATCGATGAAAAAAGTTAGATGTTATCAGAATTACTGTTTTGCTTGGAGAAATGTGTCGCTAAAAACTATCCAAAATGGTTTTAAAAAGCTGCTTTTAAGAATAGCTGTGAAGATGATGAATAAGAGGTTGAAGGCAGCAGTAAAGAAGAAGAAACTGTCAACGCTAAAAATGCAGTGCCAGATTTGCCAGAATGAAAGGCAATAAAATCTAGATTTAATGTTGACATTAATTTAGAAGATTTTTACAAGTGGACAACTGCCTGGCAACATGCGGAGCACTGACAGATACGGAAATCATAGATAATGTCAAAGGAATATCAGATGAAGAAACTGAAGATCATAATGATGAATCAAAAGTAACTGCAAAAGAAGTAGAAACAGCTGCAGAATTCTTATAAACTACTCTTGAACCGCAGGAAAATATTGGCTATGAGGAATTGGCGATCTTTCTAACCTCAAAAAAAAAAATAATCAAAATAAATAAGGTTATCAGTCTAAAATCTTGGAAAAATTATTTTCAGTGTTAAATGTATGTTAAAAAACTGCTATGTAAGTAGATGTATGTGGTATAATTAATTTAAAGAAATGTCTACATTTTTCTACTAAAAACAATTAAAGCACTTTTAATAGAATTTCTTAATTAAATTAATTTTTTTTATAATACCTGTATAATTCAAAATCTCTTTATCTCGAATTTTTCGCCTTTCCCTCAAGTTTTGAGATAAACAGGTTCGACTGTACTAAAAAGCACAAACAAATTTACTTAAATATATATTCATAAGAAATGAAATTATGACTAGAATTAAAAACAAAAATATTTCTAAATGAGCTTCAAAAGTGTAATTTCAAGGCAAATAATTCTTTCGTTCATTGTTTGATCCATAAATTGTGGAGTGATGTATTAAAATAAAAAGGAATTACAGGATTGAAAACAAGCATCTGGCAAAGAAGGTGAACAGCTTCATGAGTTGCTTGTGAGGAGAGAGTGTAGAGAGCAGCCAAAGAGGGTAATTTGTGAGGCCACCTCAAAATATGAGATCTTGCTCCATCGCATGCAGTCTTCACATCTTCTGGCAACGGAGTACCCAGCAAATCAGTTATCAAATCCAGCTACAACAACAATGTGGTCTCATCAGGATATAATATTTAGAAAAACATTATATATATATAGTTTCAGTGACAAAATGTAATACTTGGGAGAATTGCATCATCTACTTTCTCATTGAAAGGCCCCTGACCATCCAGAAGGGAAAGTATCGGATAGATGGAGTGATAAGTCTAGACGGGAAAAGTACCGAATTGATAACTAACACTTTTCCATAGAACAATCAATGCTAGCAGTCATACTTGATCCGGCATCACTCTCAGCGGATATGATATCACTGTTAAACTTATTTCCTTTTTTTCTATTAAATGTTAGTTTCATTATTAAACTATTGTCTTTATTTCCTCCGTTTTGCTCCACAAACTTCTACATATATATATAATTAATTTTAAAGTTTTTTTTTTCTATTATTAATTAAATTTATATAAGATTGTTTTCTGTTTTGGACATGCTATATTAAAATTTGATCTATCAATTAATTTTTTTAAATTATTTTCTCAAAAATGTTGAATCATGATATTTGTATGTTTAAATAGCTTTTAAGTGTAGTTAATATTTTTTTTTCTAAATAAATAAAAATCAAATTTGAACTTACATAAACTTAAGTTATATTAGAAAGTTTTCAATAAAACTTAATATTTTCTGTTTCATTCTAGCTGTTACAGTTTCTCTAATTTTTGTTGTTGCTTTTTTAAATTCAATAAATTTAAATGAGCTTAATGAAATTAATTTCAATTAAATTAATTTAATTAAATTTAAATTACAGTAAGACCCCGCTTAACGTTGTTTCGGTTTAGCGCTCTTTCATTTCAACCCGGGGATTCCCCGAAATTGTGCGCGGGGACTCCCCCAAATATGTACATAACATATCCGAAACAGTGTAGTTATGTTTCTTGTTTGGTGCGGTGCTGTACGGACGCATTTTTATCATTTGAAACATTTGTTGTCATTATTGTAAGTACATATAAATTTATGTAATACTATAACAATTAATAGAGTTACAAATATTATGATCATTAGTTTTTATCATGAGTGATAATGAAAAACAAGAAAAGAAAGGAACCAGAAAAAGCATTTCACTGGAAACTAAAATGCAAGTGATTAGAAGATTAGATTCTGGTGAACATCAATCTCAAATTAGTGCTGCATTGAATTTGGCAACTTCAACAATAAGGACAATTCTTAAGAATAAAGAAAAGATACTGTCATCGGCAACTGCAACTACGTCAAGCTCTGCAACTAGAATTACTCGTTCTAGTAATAACATTATAGAGGAAATGGAAAAACGACTGTCTATATGAATTGACCACGAAATTGAACGCAATATGCCATTAAGCCAATCGATCATAATGGAAAAAGCTAGAAGAATTTTTAATTACATTCAGGCTAAGGTAAGTGACACAAGTGAAAGTTCCGTTGCTAGTCGAGGATGGTTTAATAGATTTAAACATCGAAATAATCTTCACAACATAAAGATTACAGGAGAAGCAGCAAGTGGTGATACAAAAGCGGAGGCTAAATTCCCAGTGATATTAAAAACAATAATTGAACAAGGAAACTATCCTCCAGAATTGATTTTTAATGTAGATGAAACAGGCCTGTTTTCGAAAATAATTTAAAAACGAATATTTTTATCCCGTGAAGAGAAACTAGCACCAGGATTTAAAGCCACAAAAGATCGCTTAACACTTCTACTGAGGGGTAACGCAAGGGGAGATTTCAAATTAAAACCACTACTAGTTTACCACTCCAAAAGTCCAAGAACGATGAAAGGCATATCTAAATCAACTTTACCTGTAATTTGGGAGTCTAATAAAAAAAAGCATGGATATTTATGAAAATTTTTCAGGATTGGTTCACTGAACATTTCTGCTCGCCTGTTAAACGTTATTGCGAAATTAAAAAACTCAAACAAAGAGCACTACTATTAATTGATAATGCTCCAAGCCACCCAACAAATTTATCAGATTTAACAACATGCATACCAGTCGAAGTGGTTTTTTTTGCCGCCTAACACAACTGCCTTAATCCAACCAATAGACCAAGGCGTTATATCCAATTTTAAGGCTTATTACTTGCGGCGAACATTAAAGCAGATGTTTGACAAAATAGACGGAGAAGAGAAGCAATAATCAATAAGAGAATTTTGGAAAAACTACAATATCATGAATGCTGTAGAAAACATATTGCGTTTATTAATTTGGCTTATATTGTGTTCATTGCAATTTCATTAAGTTTTGGCCAATGTTTATTGAAATTTTCCATGTTTCTTATTGAAATTTCATTACATTTTCGACAATATTCCTGCTTGCACGGTGTTCCGAGTGAACAGGAATGGCGCCAAACAAAAATCACCAAGTTCAAATATATATATTTTTTCAAATATAACGCTGTGAAAAAAAGAAAAAACAAATATACACTTTTTATTAGACATTTTTTTGAAATTATTATTTCATATTTCTAATTCGACATTACTGGAATCTGACTAAATGGCTGGTAATTAAAAACAAGTAAATGTCTAACTTGTTGTATAGGAGTCTGGGCTTGAAATAAAATTCTCCGGCTCAGAAGTTCAGCAAATATACAGCCGACCGACCATATATCGACGGAAAATGAGTAGTGAGAAGCTCCCATAAGCAATTCAGGAGCACGGTAGTACTGGGTCACCACTTCCTGAGTCATGTGTTTAGTTTCTTCATATTCATACACCCTGGCCAAACCGAAATCACAAATCTAAAAAATAAAATTGTTCAAAAAGAGTTATCTTTAATAATCGTATTTTTGAAGATATAAATTAGAATAATTCTGCATATGTTTTTAAAACAAACTTAACTTTCCAAACAGGGAACATACTTAGATTTTGTGGGAGGATATGAACCTACAGATTTGCTAGAAGAAATCCAAGGAGTCCAAAATTTTAAGGACTTATCAAAATTTAAAAAATTTTGTGCAAAAGATAACTAGACAGTTTTTTTAAAAAAAAAAAATTAAAAAGCAGTTATCATAAGGAACTTGCAAAAATGTATATTTTGCATATTTTTTTCTAGCCCTTTTGAAATAAGTTTTGACTTTGTCAAACTTCATCAAGAAAAATAAATAAAGTTATCCCTTTTACACATAAATATATTTTCCAGTTTCAAATATTGTAATAAATCTTGTTAAAGTACAGATGTTAAAGATTAACATAAAAACCTTATATTATCTTTTCAAATTTCCAAATCTTATATTTTTAAATTTGAATACATAAGAAAATCTTAGGCATTTTGAACAAGAAAAAAAAATCACAGTAAATTAATTAAGTTTGCTTGTAACATGTAAAATTAAAATTGTTTGCTGTTATTATTTTTTTCTAACTCTTGCAATTCAAATTTTTTCTCTTTTAAAGTTTTTCTTAAACTATTAGATTTTGACAGCTAAGTCATCATTTAGTTTCCCTGCTTGAACAGCAAATTCATCAGCGGACTTAGAAAGTTCATCAATGCAACGCAACAATCTAAGGAGTTTCTAAGCACTAATTTGGAAAACTAAGTAGTTCCAAGTACTCCTTGGAGACTTTTTTATTTCCCAGGAGTTTCTAAGAAGTATAAGGACACACTCTGTTATTACTACAACGCACAACTATTTTGCAGGTTCTTTCGGCATCCAATGAAACAACTCAATCAATACAGAGCAATGCATACAGCAGAACCAGACTTGGCAAAAATCATGATTAAAAAAGATTTTTTTCCCTTAAATTGATTGTTTTAATTTAAAACAGAGTTTTTGATTTAAATCAGATTTTTCGATTTAAATCATATTTTTTTCCTTTAATTTTTGTACATATTAACAATGCTAAATAATTAAAAACAAAATGACATTTTAAGTACATAATATCTCTAACTTAAAATAGCTAAAATCAAGAAAAAATAATCACTGAAACAATAAAATCATAACCATTTTTATTCAAGCTCAACACCTTCATGAATTTGAAAATACCAAGACCCAATTTATCAGCTACGTATCACGAATTAAATTATAATGATTTAGATTGGGAACAATAATAATTGTTCTTAATTACTCTTCCTTATTTATAATCGCAAGCTGCATATTTAATAAGTTTTAAAAGCTCTTCATTTTTCAGGCTTTCCTTCCCCATTAGGCTTAAGAATATTTTAAAAATGATGTTAGTTAAAATTATAAAATTTAGCTTTTGTTGTGTTTGCTATCTTTTACCGAATGATAAGATTTACATATTTTAATAAAATGCAAAAGTTAAAATTGTAAACAAAAGAAATCTAATTTAGTTAGCTAACTATCTAGTGATTTTAGGTAGCACAGCAGGTAGTTTGAATTATACTTAATTTAAAAGAAGTTATTTGCATAAAAATAATCTGTCAAATTTCCCGAACATAAGCAATATTGTCTACAGGTCTCAATTTGTTAAGCAATATTTTCCATTAAAATAGTTATTTTCATAATTTAATGTTATGTTTTGCTTAGAATACTCACAAGAAGTGAGAAAAAAAATTTTGCATTTAAATTATATTTTTTAAAAAATTATTTATAGGTGTCATTATTGTCCCCAACACAAAATGTTACAGAGATAAATGCATACATATTCTGATAAAGTATGACTGTCTACTTGAATAATCTTTGTATGTGTCCTCCTTTGTGTAATTACAATAAAGCACTTAAGATGACTCTAGTTGAATAAAATATAACTTCCAGGTTACACTGTAATGTTTAGAGCCATTTGTTTCAAGGTAAACTTTAGTTTAAAATAAGATCTGCTTCATATTGAATGTAATTATTGTTCCCCTAATTTTTATCAAAGAAATTAAAAGCAAGTAAGAAAAAATTTGATTTGTACAAAGTTTAATAATTTACTTTTTAAAATATGCATGGCATATTTAAAGAAATAAATTAATTTTTCATCTATTTGGCAAAAACTATTGTTTTGTAATGACTGCTCCCACTTAAAATGCACTTAAAAAGGATAGTAATTAACAAAGGATTAATTATTTGAAAATTTTTTAAAGTGTTTGATTCATTTGGTTATATTAGTACATACTTAGTTTATTATTTTTTTTGTCAGAATTCAAACAATAAAAGAGCATTATTAATTGACAATAAGAACATTGTAAGTAAACATAAAAATACATAAGAGCAAATTTATGACTGTTATTAATATTATTGAAAATTAAGTTAAAATACAAGAGTTTAGATGAGTTATGAATACATTTTCTTTTGTGGTGCTACAATGGTCTCAAAAATGAAAAGCTAAAAAAAAAGTTTTTTTCAAATTTTAATTGTAATTTTATTTATTATTCTTTTAAAATTTTTGTTTGGAAGTTTGCTTGGCATTTTTGTGTTTCTTTTTCACTTTCATTAAGAATTGAAAAATTCAGAATATTTGCAAAATTGCTTTAATCTATAATTTTAACAGCACAAATATCTGAATCTTGTAATTTTCATTTTTGTCACTTTGTGTATAGAAAAGAGTGGACATAAATACAAATTTGGTAATTAAAAAAAAAAAAAAAATTAAAAAAGTTTTTNTATTAAAAAAAAAAAAAAAACAATGATAAGTATTATAGAAATTAATTTCAGTTTTATTATTCATTGGCATTCTTTTAATTTTAGATAAATCATATAAATAACGGTGATAAAAGAAGATTAAGAAAATAATCTCTTTCGGAGTAAAAAGTTAACTGAAATTTTACAGTTTGCTTTGGATGAAAAGTTTTATTGCGGCAAGCACAAGATATGGGTGATTCTCATGAAATATGACAATTTACAGTCTCTTGCTCCAAGATCTAATACTATACTACTAAAAGAACTTTTTTTTTAAAATTTAATAAATAGCATTGCTGTTAGCATTTTAAAATGACCTTGCACTAGCATTGACTGTTTTGTATATATATAAATTTTAATTGAATTTCAAAATATCATTATCCTGGCATGTCAGAAATAATATTTCCAAAAGTAACTAGCTTCAAAACTTTCCATAAATTTTTCAATATCTAATTTTTTTTAATCTCAACCTGCGTAAGCATTTATAGAATATACGCAGAGAGTATTATTTACAAAAACTTTATTGAAAAAAAAAATTTCTGTCAATAAATAATTCTGTTTGTCACATGAAAATCAGTCATTTTCCTGGTTACTTTTATTTAGTGATTTATAACCAAAATAGATAGCGCCAGCAATCAATATCTTATGTTAATAGAATGCTTAGAATACTATCCTATCTGAACATGTCTTATTGCATGAATAAAGAACCAACTTACTGGTTCAAAATCTACTTCAAAAAGTTTTTCAAGGTGCGTAGCTTTCTATGTTGTTATTTTCCTGTCTTCTTGAAATCATTAATATCATAAACTACATGCATTTACCAGAGATATTTCAAGAAATCCTGTTGTTTTCGGCGGAATGTAAATGTCTTAGGCCGAAATGTTAAAGTTAAATGCTATAAAGTGACAAATTGTCATTATCCTGGCTTATGAATGGCAGGACATTGACACAGTTACCAGAAATTTTTTAAACAGTATAACGAAAAGAGGGAAAGCAATATTAACCTAATACCAAGTTCATGTAAGATTGTAATATACTTGAATGTAATCAAATATATTTTTTTTTAATTTAATGATTGATTATTATAAACAATTTTATTCTGTACATATCAGCAACAAAAACATTTTTGATTCTTTCTACAGTGGATAAAAGAATTAATTTAAACAATTCATGGTCTATTCAAAGCAAAGGCTTCAGTTGAGTTACTTACTATTAGCTTAAAATGACAGTTTTTTCAAACTTCTAAGCTAATATGTCATTTTCCTGGAATTCAAAATTTGGTGAATTTCTATTTTTTTTTTTTTTTTNTTTTTTTTTCTTGAGCAAATGATGTCAATAAACTACACTGCTGTCTGTAAGATATTAATAAATGTAACTAAATAAACATACAAAAAAAAAATTTGAATATTTTGAAGACTTTAAATATGAAAAAATATTTTGTTCCGAATTGTCATATTTCCAAAGAATCACCCGAATACAAGAAATAAAATTATGAGTCATATAAAAAATGCCACCAAGACTGATTCTTACCGAATAATACAAATTTCGAAAAATACAAAATTATATTTAAGAGTGTAAAACAAACAACATTTTTTTAAATTCATTATGAAGCAGATGAAAGAGAAAAAAAAATTTTAAAAAAATATTACCTTGAAATTTAAAAAAAAATACTTTTCCAGTTTACTACTATAATAATTTTTTTTTTTTAAATTGCTGTCCCGTTACACGAAGAGACATTTTTAAATAACAAACAAGGCTTTTGGTTTGGTTATGTGTTTGCTTACAAAATGAGGTCTTAGTTAAAGAAATATATATATAAAAAAAAAGAGATAGAAAGATGTTTTTGCAATGAAAAATTAAAAATTCTTAATGTTACTTCAAATTTTTAGATAAAATAAATTTTCTTAAAAAATACTAATTAAATTTTCAATTAAATATATTAAAAACATTTTCCTATATTTATTTATTAATTGATAGAAAAACATAAATTTTCTTCTTATGATTTTAAAGCAAATGAGGGGACAATAATTACATATTTCTATGTAATTGCAACTTAAAACTGTCACTAAATTTTTCATTTCTAGTTGTTGTTAAGTATGGTCTTAATGGAAAAATTATCAACATTAAGTAAATTATGAAAATAATTTTTCCTTATTGTCTTATGCAAAAATTAAAATTTTGAGAAAATTGCCCTTATCCAATACAATAACATATTTACCCTCCTTTTTTGTCCCTTATTTAATTATTACGACATTTAATTAGATCCAATAATTGAAGCTCTTATTAATTGACACTTATTTTAATAACTTTTTTAATACTTAAAGTTAATATCCTTTCTATGTTTGGAAACTTTGGCAATACAATACAATAAGATATAAATTAAAAAATTTTTTAAAAAAACTCAAACTATAATATGCATAAATTTCATTCTCTTATAGAAAGAGAGAAGAAAACTAAACAACTACAATTTATGTTAAGGTGCCTCACTACCTTGAAAAGTCGAATTTCGATGAAATTTTCAAAATTGAGATTTTTTACTTTTAAAAATATTTGGAATCTTATCTTTCGATTGGCGGTAAAATTTCGTTGATACGATAATTCTAACCCGAGATATGTGCATTTGAAAAAGTATTAGTTTCAGTGAAAATCCACCGGATGTGAAATTTCGAAACCGAAACTAATCATGCTTTTGACAGATTCAGTGCATAAATCATTGTTTTCCATTTTTTTTTTGCTTTTAAAGAACTTTTTAAAGTAATTATAAACAATTCGAAATATTTTAATAGTCTGTATTGTTTTTATTACTTCAAATATGGCAACAAGAGATTGTTGTCATTTGGCTCTCTTGTGATTTCGATTGTTGTTTGGAGTTAGTTTTCTTATTTTGATTTGATTTATACTAGATTAAATAGCTTTATTTTGGGTTATTTCATAATAATTGTTTTCAGCTGATATGGCAGGAAAAAATTATCGCAATAAAAAGCGAAAGTTCTATGGAAATAGGTATTCAAATTTACCTAACAAAAATAACGTGGATGGCACTGAAAAGGAGAAACTTTCTACTGCTAGTTTCTCTAAACTGAAAGATAAATTACAAACAGTGGAAAACCATGAGCGAGTTTCAAATGCTAACATTCAAGGTAATAGAATAATATCGATGGAATTCCTTGTATGCTTACTTTCTGCCCTATCTTGTTCTGAATGTTTTCAGCAATCGCTGTCAATAATTGAAGATTCAAGGTATGGACTTTTGTCAAACTTTACAGTGAAGTGTAACAGCTGCTCTTTTATGGTTCCTTTCCCAACATCAAAGAAAATTGATAAATGCTCTGAAATCAACACTCTTCTTGTTTATGGGTTGCGATTGATTGGTAGAGGTTACACTGCAGGCAGAAAGCTATTTTCTATACTTGATTTACCTTTCTTAGCGCCATACAGTTTTCAGAAACAAGTGAAAAAGTTATCTGATGCTGTTGTAAAACTGTCCAAAAGCAGCATGAATGAGGCTGCAAAAGAAATAATTGCAATGAAACAGTCTAATGAAGTTGTGACACCTTGTGGAATTTCTGTCGATGGAACTTGGCAACGTCGAGGTTATAGTTCATTGAATGGTTGCGTCTCTGTCATCTCCATTGATACCGGTAAAGTACTTGACTGTGAGGTGATGTCATCCTATTGTAGAATGTGCTTAGCATCAACAAATTCTACGAAACCTCATATTTGCCGAAATCATACGGGCTCTGCTGGAGGTATGGAGAGTGTTGGTGCTCTTAGAATCTTTCAAAGATCGGCTCTACTGAATAGCCTTGAGTATAGAGAGTACTATGGCGATGGAGATGCAAAAGCATATGAAACCGTTAAAAACGTATATGGAAAAGACAGTGTTGTGAAGTATGAATGCATTGGACATGTGCAAAAGCGTGTTGGTTCCCACTTACGAAAGGTAAAAAAAAATACAAAAGGACTTGGCGGGAAAGGCAAACTGACAGATAAGTTCATAGATAAACTACAAAACTATTATGGGATTGCAATTCGGAGCAATAGTGGAAATCTTCTGGAGATGCAAAGATCAGTAATTGCTGCTTTTTTCCACTGTTGTTCTAGCTCAAAAAAGCCAATGCATGTGCAGTGTCCTCCTGGCTTGGAGAGTTGGTGCAAGTACCAGCAGTTTCAGGCGTTAGGAAAAAACTATAAAGAAAATGTCCAAGGTTTACCTGAGAAAGTAATGGCGGCTATAAAGCCAACATACATGAAATTGTGCAATCAAGAGTTGTTGAAAAAATGTTTGCATGGAAAAACTCAGAATCAAAATGAAAGCTTCAATGGTGTTATCTGGCAAATCTTGCCAAAGAATGTTTTTGTTGGACTGGAAACTCTGCAGTTTGGTGTGTCATGTGCAATTTTGCAATTCAACGATGGGTCATGTGGTTTACTATCTGTTTTAAGATCATTTGGAATAAACCCTGGTTATTTCACTACTCTTGCATTCACAGAAATGAACAAACTGCGGTTAAATTCTGCTCACCGACATTCTTTACCGTCTACAAAAATTCAAAGAAAAAAGTTACACGCTTCTAAAAAGCGTAAGCTTTCAAAAATCGAACTGACAGAAGGGGTTACATACCAAAGCGGTTGTTTCTAATATTTATAAGTGCCTTCTTTTGTTAAACTCTTACTTCAAAACTATTATGTTCTTTTTCTAAACTGTGTTTTTTAAATGTGTGTTATAATACTTCTAAGTCATTATCTTTTACGAAGTGTATGCTTGTTTTTAAAAATGTTATTGACCGAAACTATATTTTGTTTAATCTTGTAATATAACTAGCATTTCACTTTATAAGAAAGAAGTTCTAACTAGCAAATATATTAAATGTTTACAATGATAAATGATGTTTACAATTTAAAATAAAACATCAAGGTTACTCCTTATTCATATTAGTAAATCTGATAATTCTCATTGGTAAAAACTTAATTAATAAAAAGGAAATAATGTTTTTATGAAAATGTTTCTACTTGAATAACAAAAATGAAGGTGTAAAATATCATTGATATGATTTCCTTGCATATTTATTACAATAAAAAAATTTTTTATGCAATCGTTTACTTTAAATGCCTTTTCTGAAGTTTTGATTTTTTGCAAGTTTTGAGTTACGATTTACACCATAAGTTAAAAAGTTTTAGTCCCAAAGTCTTGAAATTTTGTGTACAGCTTTTTTATAACATTCTTTCAAAGATAGACTAAAATCTTTTTCATAAATATGTATTTTTTTTTGTTTGAGCAATTTTTGTTTATTTTGAACTGTATTTTTTTAGAAATTTTTAAATGAAGCTATTTAAAACGCCATAACTTATAGTTCCTCTAATTTAGAGCTTAGCTTTTAGTCTGTTTTTAAGACACATTAATTACGAGCGTAATAGTGAAGAAAATTGTTCAATAACTTAACTTGAAAAATTTTTAGAGCATAAACAGTGGTTTCATAAAAACATTTTTTACCATATTTTTCCCCAAATTTACAAAAAATAAAATTTTTTTTGCTGAAACAACTGCAAAAAAGCAGTTTTTATACTACAAGGCACCAAAAAAACCCTTAAGGTTTCAATTAATAAGGATTTTTAAAAAAAAGTTGTCGAAGGTGTCCAGATACCTTAAAAGAAAAAATACTGTAGGCTAATAAAAACACTTTTAACATTCCCTTCAGATCAATGTATAAAACAAGTTATAAAAAAAATAAATTCTAGCACAGTAGCAATAAAGAATATTAATTTTAATACGATTAGAATATTTGATGCTGAAATTAGTTTTACAACAATTTCTTTTCAAGACTGGATAGAGCAATGGGAAGAGGAAAAACAATGTTTTTAAAATGAAGCAATGAGAAAAAGAAGAATCAACATACCTTTAAAATACAGTTACTATTGACAAGAAGATTCCCCGGTTTGATATCTCGATGCAAAATATTCGCAGAATGAAGGTATTTTAAACCTGAAAAAAAAATTTTTTTTCATCAAAAAAGAAAAATAATTATCTTGAAATAAGAATAACCCAGGGTTAAGAACAACCTGGAATTAGTAGAGAATTTTTTATTCCGGAAAAAACCCAGAAAAGGCAAGGAAATTTGACCCTGGAAAAATGACCCTTGAATTGAATAAAACCCTGGAAAAATTAAGCAATTTTAAAGAAAAACTGGAGTTTGTTGATTTGGATTTTTTCAAAATTTCGATATTAACTTAAAATATATTACACCCACTTTTTTAGGGAAGAAGTTTATTCCCAAATGGTCAAAATATTGACAACTTAGCAATGCTTTGCTTAGACTAAAACTTGCTCCCTCATAACCTAGTCATTAACTAATTCGGGATGCTGTACAAAACTTTTACATGGTTGTTAAATGGAAGTGAATGGGACCACTAATAATTATTTTATGCTGTTCTGTAACCAACAGACTATTCTTAATTTTGAGTTTTAGTCCATAACACATGTTTTTAAAATTCGAAACAAATGTTTTTAAAAATTTCACTTAATATAAGACTTTTACTAAACTTTTCCAAATACAATCATCAGCATATTGTGGAATTTTTTTTTCTGCATTCCTAAAAAAAAAAGAAAGTTATATTAGTATTTAAAATATACCTCTTAAAGTTTGATATAAAAACACTTTCACATGATCAGTAGACAGAAGTTGGCGAGATGTTATTATCTTGTGCAAGTCTGTTTGCATCAATTCGGTAAGAACATAACTATAAAATGGTTAAGAACACAAAATGTAAAGAGAAACAAAAGATTAAAGGAGGGTTGAGAAATAGATTATACGGAAACAGTACCACTTTCTATATTGCAATACATAAAATCCTATTTTCTATTCCATAGACACATCATTTTAGAACATTCATTCCAGTATAGCAGTGTTTCCCAAAGTGTGGTATACGTACCCCCAGAGGAACAGTTTAGTGGGGGTACGCGTTCTTATGCGAAATATCTTGCAACAAACAAAAATTTCAGTTGAAAACAGTTTGAAACAGTTGAGTTTTAGTTGAAAACAAAGGTAGCCATGAAAATTTACGAATTTTTTTATTGGCTATTTTTTGCAGAGTTAACAGTTAATAATTAGTGGTGTTAACAGCCAGTTGTGATTTTTTATAGTAAAAAATGCATTCATTTTTTTATTTGTGGTACACGGCATTACGAAAAATTTAAAAAGGGTACACAAAAGTCATAATTTTTAGAAACACTGCAGTATAGCAACGAAAATATTTGATTCAATATTTTTTCATTTCATTGAAAATCACTATGAGTCAAAAAAGTGTATTTTGAAAACAATATTCCTTCATTCCTTAACAATGACTCACATGAAATCATAAAATTCTTTTGATCTTACAGCACTCTTTGATTCTGTTTGCATCAAAGAAGAGTCGCACGACTCGTTGATTTTTATCCTATGTGGCATTCATTAGTACCATGAGTAAATATTTATGGTATATTACGCATCCATGATCTAACAATCTCATGCTATTTCGTGATGTGTTTTCATTTGAATTGTTACATCAAGCATTGACTGTGTATATATATATGTATACATGTCATAGCTTCTATTAATCTTTTAATGTTATCCTAATTAATTATTCTAATCGAAATACTTTCTCACACTTTTAAAAGCCACATCCTGTTCTTAAATCTATTTTTGGCTCAAGTATGCATTTAATTAAAAGCAGGACATTTTTCCCTTTGCTCTCTGTGGGAAACGCTCGATCTATTTCGTAAACCAATAGCAACTACTAAGATTTCTCTCTTTCCCTAAATTAACGTATTTTACGGATTATACTTCGCAAGATTTTGCCTAACATATAACCGAGGAGAGCAACTTTTCGTGTTCACTTTTACACACATTCATGACTGCTCTGTCTAATAATTAATAAAAAAATTTTGTACCCTCCTTCCCGGCCTAAGACCTGTTTTAATCCTTCCACTCGGCAACGACGTTATAAGTCGCCAGGATTGAACGGTCGGGAAGGGGTACAGTTCGTACGGTACATTAAAGATATTTAATATCTCATTTGAAA